TGCGTAATGAAGCTTCGGACGTCACTGGTCACGTGACTTTTGCCAATCGAAGCACGCCTCGACACAGTGCTTCTGAACCAGTGTGTTGTTCTTTTCGACACACGCTCCGGAGCGTCAGCTTCAAGCGGGCCATCACTAGTTTTCAGTCCCTTTTGCTGTTTCTCCATTTGCATTTTGTGTTCAATAAACCACCTCACCTTCACTACTGCAATTAGATCCTCCTTTATTATTTCCCCACGGCTCACTCCACTCACCATGACACAAACAGAAACAAAACAGCTACAAAACCCCTTTGTTTTGGAGTTGCATGTCTTTCTTGGTTGTTTTTGTGATCTTCCCAAAGATGGACCTGATGAGCAAATCAGCTCAAATGTCTTCAGATTCAATTCAATTCAGCTCAGTTTTATTTATATAGCGCTAAATCACAAAATCAGTCCCCTCAAGTAGCTTTGTATTATACGGTAGACCTTACAATAATACATGCAGAGACCGGTTGGGGAAGGAAGACAGAATAAAAGACATGCTGTGGACGAGAGCTGGAGATTAATAACAACTATGAATCAGTGCAGAGAGGTCTATTAACATATAGTGAGTAAGAAATGTGAATGCATGGGAATCTCCCAGCAGCATCCCCCTTTTGCAGCATAACAAAGGGAGGATTCGGGGTCACCTGATCCAGGCCTAACTGATTCAGCCCTAGCCTGAATCACACATGGTTTACTATTTCTACTGTTATATTTCTATGAAAAGTTCTTCTTCATGTCCATTTAACCAAACTGTGATTTCTTCCACAGGTGGTGCAAAGCTTCTGTAAACTCCAATCATCAACACAGCGCCATGCTGGAGAGAAAACGCAAAGCTACAAACTTCCTCCTCACATCAGAGTTGGACGAGGAGATGACAGACACCACTGAGTGGATGGAGGCCTGGAAGGCTCCAAGAGGATGGTTTAAGGTAGAGGAGGAGGAAACAGAGGAGGAGGAGGAAGCAGAAGAAATATATGTCAAAGGGGAGGAGGATGATGAAGGAGTGAATAATGAGGACGGAGATATGGATGAGGAAGAGGAGGATGGAAATCTGGATGGTGTGGAGGAGGATGAAGGAGTTGAAGAGGAGGAAGCTTTCAATAAAAATAATGTGGACAAAAAACTAGAAAAGGAGAGAAAAATAGAAATAGTTATAGAAAAGAAAGAAAAAGCCCTTAACAAGAAGGCTGAAGATGATGAGGATGATGAGGAAGAAGATGAAGGAGTGGATGAAAATGAGGAGGAGGAGGAAGAGGAAGAAGAGTATGAAGATACTGACAACAAGAAGGAGGGCAAGGAAGAAGACAATGAAGAGGAACAGGATGAAGATGGTGGAAGGGAGGATGGAAACAAAAAAGGCAATCAAAAAGATGACAATGAAACAGATAACGATGAGGAGGAGAAAGAAGAGGAGGAGGTGGAGGAAGGGGATGAAAAAACTAAGGTAGAGAAGCAGGAAAAAGACACAAATGAAAATGATGAGGGTGAAGTAGAAGAGGAAGAGCAGGACAGTGAATTGAATGAAGATGAAAGGGATGACAAAGTGGAAAAGCTGAATGAGGAAGGCACAGACGAAGAGGAGGAAGTGAATGCAGAAATAAAGGAAGAAGAGGAGGAGGAAGACATAGAAGATGAGGAAGAGGAGAACAAGAATGGCATAAATGAGGAGAAAGGAAACCATGATGGTGGCAGGGATGAAGATGCAGAGGTAGATGAGGAAGACGAGGAAGATGAAGATTATAATAACAATGATGATGAAACAAATGTATGTGAAAAAGAAAAATACAAAGAGATGGACAAGAAAGATAAAGGTGGAGAAGAAGAAGAAGAGGAGGAGGAAAAAGCAGAATCAAAAGAAGGAAAAGAAGAAGAAGCAAAAGAAAAAGAAGAAGATGAAGATGAAGAAGAAGCAAAAGAAGGTGAGGAAGAAGAAGAAGAAGAAGAGGAAGAAGAAGAAGAAGAAGAAGCAGAAGAAGAAGAAGAAGCAAAAGAAGGTGAGGAAGAAGAAGAAAAAGAAGAAGCAGACGAAGAAGAAGAAGGAAAAGAAAAAGAAGAAGATGAAGAAGAAGAAGAAGAAGGAGAGGAAGAAGAAGAAGAAAAAGGAGAAGGTGGTGGGGATGAAAAAAATGAAACAGAAAGAAATAAGAGTAGTAGGGTTAATGTAGATAAGGAGGAAGATGAAAAAGATGAAGATGATGACAAAGCTGATGAAGATGAAGAAGAGGATGATGTGCAAAAGAATGAAGGCAATAATGTAGATAGCGAGGATGAAGAAGAAGAGAAGGAAGAAGAGGATGAAGCAGACAACGACCAGGAGAGTGATGAGGATGGTAAAGACAGAGAGGAGAATGAAAATGTTGACGAGGAGGAAGGTGGTGTAATATTAGAGAAAGATGAAGAAGAAATTAAAGAGAATGACAAAAAAGCTGACCATCACAAGGATGAGGAAGAGGAGGAGGAGGATGAAGAGAAGGAGGCTGGTGAGAAAGAAAATGAAGCAGAGGTTATAGTAGAGAAAAACACAGAAGAAGAAAAGAAGGTGAAGAAGTCACAGAAAAGAATGAAACATAAGCCCGATGTCCCGCTCCATCTGCAGTTCCACAAACTGAACGCCTGCTTTCCCTCCTGGAAGCAGTCATGGATGGTGGCAGTAGCTCACAGAGGAGGTTGTGATGCTGAGGATGAGGCTTACGAAGAGGGTGAGGAATCAGAATTGAGAGCTTGGAAGGACTCATGGAGGATTTGTCGCTATAGAAAGCCAGATGATGATGACGTGGTGTGTTTCTCTATGGAGCACCGGAGTCAGCGGTATATGGGACTGACGCATGAAGAAGACAGCATGCCAAACAGTGAGTGGACTCTGAGCTGGAAAATGAACAAAGAAAAAGATGAAGAAGAAGAAGAAGAAGAAGAAGAAGAAGAAGAAGAAGAAGAAGAAGAAGAAGAAGAAGAAAGTTAAAATTTTCTGAGAGGGGAAATTAGAAGTGCTGGGTATTATTTATACCTGATATGAACTAAATGTGTCAAAAGCTGGGATTGTCATGTCTTATTTCAGATGCTGACCAGAGATACTTTTAATCCAAACTTCTGTTCTGCATGTTTAGGTTTAGGCTAGGCTACTGGAAAACTGCAAAAAGATATTTATTTCAACTGTTGATGCCGTCAACAACCTCACATGCCCAGAAGGAAGTAACTAATACAGTTAGCAACATGTCTGTGTTTACTTTAGGTCAGATTTGAAAACTACTGATGAGTCGTGATTTTTCTTTCTTTCTTTACGCTTCTTATATAGTTTGGTGCTGTTTTGTGATCCTTCTTGCTTGAGTGAATGTCAACAATGAAAAGTACAACGTTAGCATGACAATTAACGGTAGCTATGCAAGCTAGCCAACTCTCAGTCGGTAAAAACAATAGCATTTACATAAGCCCGGAAATCCACAGTTCATTATCAGTGGCTTTCAGCAAGAGTTCTCCAGGTTTTCTTAGGTCTTTGAGAGTTTTTCTTTTCAGTCATTTTCAGTCCATTCCTTTTCCTTCCCATTTTCAGAGAAATTATTTTTTGTTGTGTATTTGTTAAGCACGAGCCACTTAACACTGGCCACCTAACTCAATGGATAAAAGAGTGTAACCTATGCATAACAACTGAGCAAAGAACCAGTTTTAAAGCATTATTTTACAAAGTTTTTTTTGTTACAAAGACACATAATTTAATAAAACTCATGAAACAGTATTTCTGCACAAAACAAACAACTATTAATGAAAAACATGGCTTATATTGACATGGTGTGCAGAGTGTCCTTAACAACTTTCAGGAAACTGATCAAATGGAGGACAAAGAAGGTGCAGAAAATGAAAACAATATGTAACAGTATCTTTATCCAGTGTCCTGCATCTGGCATTTGATTCATCTCCTGTTTCCCAAAGTCCCATCAGAAGTGGTCTCAGTGGAAAGGTGGCTGTCAAGAAGCCATTCATACAGAGGGGAGACAGGGAGAAAGGCTGAGAAGTGCCAAATTACACAAGTACTGGACTAAAAATGCAGTGGTTGAAACAAAGATAAAGTGGTTGACAGCTTAAGAAGAATGTAGGAAAGGAGCCAAATGCCAGTTGGCCTCTTTACACTCAGCATTCGATGCTAAACTAATTTGATAAGTACACTCAGGGAGGATATCCTCCAGAAAGGCCAGCATAAATTTCACAATTTAACTTTTAAAAAAGTTATCCAGATCAAAAGCATAAAATGTTATGGGTTCTTCACTTGCTGATGCTCCAGAGCATCATTTGATTAAACTTTATAAAATCTTCATCTTTGACACTAGAAATTTGATATTAAAAATGATAACATACAAGGAAGTGTCCTGCTATAAGATTACATATTATTATTTTCATGTTTACAGTTATAGCTGCTTTTTCATCCTGTGTTACTAAATTTCTGCTAACTGCCTTCTACTGCTAGACTGTTTGTGTCATTAGACACCAAAGCTCTGAGGGTGTTGTGAAGATGTACAATTTACCCCACATCAAAACATAAAAATCAATAGCCAAGCAGTGAGCAGCTAATGGCTGTAATTGGTTAACACAATGTACTGACGGGGTAAAATATGAAGCACTTTAAGAGAGGTGACTGAGGTTTGTCTGATTTTTAAAGTAAGAAAATGTCATATTGGTGTTGTGTAGATGGAAGAGGCTGTGCAGAGATCAGTCTTAAACATTTATATGGTGATGTGCGTCTTTACTGCACTCTTTTATGATACAGTGAAGATCAAACTGCAACTTTTATTAAAGTTATAAACTGTGAATTTTACAGAAAAAAACTGCGTGTTTGTTTTCGCACAACTTATTCACACTTAATAGCACTACATAAGCACATTTTCAGTATTTTAGTTTCTTCCTGAGAGTGAGCGGTCAAGACTGATGTCAGTCTGGTTCATGTGTGCAGATCAAAATCTCTGTCTTTAGAAATTGAAATAAGTTTATCCAAAGTATTTTGAGAAATCATTAAAAGTAAAGGGTTAGGGTTAGAAAGAAAAAAGAAAGAAAGAAAGAAAGAAAGAAAGAAAGAAAGAAAGAAAGAAAGAAAGAAAGAAAAGAGAGACCCAAACTGAGTTCTAGTGTGGATTTAAATTGGATCTTGGATTTAAATTCAAATTCAAATTCAAATTCAAAATTTATTTGTCACATACACAGTACGATATGCAGTGAAATACTTAGACAACTGCTCGTGACCTAAAGAAAAAAAGACTATGAATAGGATAGGAAATAAATAGGAAAATTAAAATGAAGGGTAAATTTCACTAGGAAAGAATATATAAAATATAAAAATTAAAGTTAAAAATAAAATAACTGTACAACAAAATACACAATACACAAACACACAATATAGAAATGTATAAGAATATATGAAGAAATATAGAACAACAACAGCAGCTGTACAAGTACTAAATGGTAATTAAGAAATATAATGTCCAGGGTTGTGCAATCCACATGTGTAAGTGTCTTGTGTAGTGCAAATATGCTTAAAGTGATTTATTTAAGTGACTTAGTGATAAAGTGATTCGATTAGATGGCCACGCAGTGTAGTTGTGCAGTGGCCACTAGTGTAAACAAATGTCCAGAATGTCCAGTGTGTGTGTAAAAACCATATGTGTGGGTCAGTACTGTGTGGTGGTGTGATTGAGAGACCGTATCGCCTGCGGGATGAAGCTCCTCCTCAGTCTCTCTGTTTTGGTCTTCATGGAGCAGAATCGCTTTCCTGACCTCAACAGAGAGAACAGTCTGTTGTTGGGATGGCCGAGGTCCTTCACTTGGTCCAGCACCGCCTGCTGTAGATTGAGTGGAGCCTTTCTCATTATACCTTTAGACTGCATAACAAATGCATTACACTGCAAATGTGTTTTTGTGCTCAGGAGTAACATAGTTGAGTGTCCTTTGGGATTAGTGACTAGTGTTAAAGTTTTTGTTAGGTTTGTGCATCAGTGCATTCTCAAACAGAGAGCAAAATCAATTTATTGAATGTGTTTGGAAACTTTTGCTGTAACTTGTGATGGTACAAGAAATAACAAAAGCACAAACCCAGGTTGAGAAAAACACTCGTCTGCTTTCAGTTCTGTGCTGACTGTTCTTTATAAAGCAGGCACTAGAGGGAGATGTTGCTCTGTCTCCATGAGGTTCATCTGTATGTAGGACAGAGTACCTTGAACTCCTAATACTGTCTGGCTCGCCTCTGAAGTCTGTACAGGCCCAGCAGACAGTGCACAGAACACACCAGTGAGAGTGGAAAAGATAAATAAGCATAAATAATGTAGCGCTTAACATAATATTAGAAGGAAGTGATAAATAATGAACTCAATTTGGAGTAATAAGTAAAATATGTATCTCTTATTAGACTGCTGGTCAGTCTGGAATGGGTAAGATGGATAAAAGACTCTGAGACTCATATTAAACCTATAAATCACTTTCCGTGAATGGCCATTATTATCTCAAATAGAGACCAAATACTGTGAAACCGCCACAAGTGCAGTTTACAAAAAGGGTGTCCAATAATTCAGTGCTCTATTTTCTCTCTGGCTCCACAGCAGGAGATGGCTTCCACAGCTTCTCTTCATCATTTTATAATGATAAACTTGTAGCCTGCAAAGTTTCCCTCTACCCCTCCGAGTCTCCCTGCATTTTGTGAGCTTTCACATGCAGATTTCCTGTAGTGTTCAGATCAGGGCTTCCCCTCCTGCTGCTGACTCTCCTGCTGTGTATTAGCATGAGATCAGTCTGCATTGTGATGCTGCGCAGATTACAAAATACCCATTTCCACCTCTGATTGCCCCTCTGTCCTCAAAGTAGAGACAGATTAACAGAGGTGAGTGGAGTGGGGGTGGGGCAGAGCTGTAATACTGTTTTGGATAGTTTGGTTACTTCATCTGTGACCACCAGAACCAAAAAAAGATGCTTTATGTAATCTATGCGATATTTATTATTGATATATATTAGGAGTTTAGCTTTCATTATAATGACATTTGACTTGCAAGTGGAAAAAATGGCATTTTGTATTTATTAGGAGAACATAGAAGAAACTGTTACCTTTCAAATAAATAAATAAACTATATGAACTTCCTGGAAGTTAACCAAAAACTCAAATTCTTCTGCTCACCCTAGATTTGATGCCAGCTGTCATTGTGCATTTCAACTGATTTGTAGCTTTGTTGTCTGTGAGGTGACTGCTACTAGGAGGTCATTCAAATGAACTCATTCTGCAGTGTTTACAGTCTGTCTGTTAGCTTCTAATGCTAATACAGGCAACAAACTGAGCTTTTCTACTGCTGCTTTGCAAGTTAGATGAAACATGATGTCTGATTTGATCAGATTCATGTTGCTGTGTACAACTCAGACCCACAGAACAACTTGCATATTTGTGTGTTGATTCATATAAACTGTGTTTTTCTGACTATCTTGGGTCCACATACACATTGTAGCTCTTATTGTTGCTACTGGATTAGAGCAAAATTTAGATCAGAGAACAATTTGTGATACAGATGAATTTCTAGAAGGTATCTGAGGGAAAAAGTTGCCCACACATTGAGTACCATGTCTGGACATCCATATTGCTTCACTTTCTGGCTCTGATGGACTTGTTTTGGAGCTGAGTTACAGCCAGACTCATCATCATTTTCAAACTGTCTGATTACATACCATAGCCGGTCACCTTGTGCAGGTGACCCATATACTGGCTTTGAGTCCACCCCAGACCATTACCTGTGTGATCTTAGCAGGTGGGAAAGAAAAGTGAATGGACTTCTTTAAGTTTCTTGAAGATGTTTCGCCTCTCATCAAAGAAGCTCCTTAGATTACCATGACCTGGATGACAGAGAACCTTCACATTTTCTGTGTGTCATTCGCCCTCCCACTCTTTCCCGACACTACTGTCTGCACTGTCCCATCCAGTGAAGGCAAAAAGCCTTATGTTCTGAAAACTCAGCATCTTCCAAATCTTCTCTCTTTTCTAAAATCATAGACATAGACACCTCAGCTTCACTACTGGAACTTCAACACTATGCACTCCACACTGTATATAAATGCCACTTGTTTTGCACATATTCAACTCTGTATATTTTTATATATTTTATTTATTTATTTATTTTTACCATTTAATTTGTAAAATGTGTACACACACACACACACACACACACACACACACACACACACACACACACACACGCACGTAGGAAATATTTAGTATACACATCCAGAAATGCATACACTATTATATATTGTACATATATTTATTAGTTTCAGATGTAGCCATTCTTGTATTTGCTGGTTTGTGTTGTTGTGTTTGCACATTTCTGTTGCTTGTGGGGCTCGCACACAAGAATTTCACTCGCATGTGCTGTGCCAGTGTGCCTGCACATGCGATGTGACAATAAAAGTGATTTGATTTGATTTGATTTGATTTGAAATCACTGAGGTTATTTAAATGAATTTTTTTTTTCACCATTTGGGATATTTTTGGCATTTGTTGCTCCATTAAGTTGGTGGCAAACATTTTGTGATCTAAGTGTGGACAAATATTATTGCACAGAAATGACATAAACAGCTATTTAAAAAAAGATTAAATTGAGATTAAATGCACCAAAACGCAGAGCAGAAAAAAAACAGTGTGCAGAACTTAGAGCCATATGACTGTTGCTGTTTACACTCTCACTGAATACGCCTCACCCACCGGCCACCGAAACCATTCATCACAATGCAAGCAGAGTTTTTGAGAAGAAATCAGAACATCTGTTTAAGCATTTACCCCTGGATAAATGAATAGTTCATGACTAATAATACAGCCATTCTTTGCAATTAAATTTAATGCTGTGATTTTGGTTTTTGGGCATGGAGTGGTTTTAAGTTGTTTTATTTTGTACATTTACCAAATTACATTTAGGAGAACCTGGAATTATTCACCAAATTATTTAAAAGTACTAGAAAACCCATAAAATAAAACGTATTAAAAAGGTATTTTACTCCCAAAAATCAGCAGCTGAAAGTTAAGTATCTTACTATACCAAGAACAGATTTCTGTTTTCTATATGTTTGTTTCTGCTTAAGAAAGTGTGATACAGAAGTGTGTGTGTGTGTGTGTGTGTGTGTGTGTGTGTGTGTGTGTGTGTGTGTGTGTGTGTGTGTGTGTGTGTGTGTGTGTGTTCTTGTTGTGCACTGAGGAAAGTTTCAGTTTAGGTGGATTTCCTTTCAGGAGCAGGGTCATTAACATGTGAAGGTGAGGTTAATATGCATATTTACAGGGTGAGAGAGTGGGGGATGTCAGCGAGAGAGGTGGAGGAAACAAAGAAAGAAAGAAGGCCTGTGAGGTTTTATATGAGCAAGGAATTGAATCTACTGAACCACAGATGGTTAAAAGTACTTTGATCTTTTAATTCTTTAATGCCTCAATGTCAGCTTCCCAAAAACCGCTGAAAAATCATTATATACTAATATTTTTTCCACTTTAAATAAATTTTAAACCTTTAAAATCAGTTATTAAGTCACCCTAGTAATAGTAATATTCTCTTAGACATTAACCCCTAAACTAAAAGGCTTTTATCTATATGTTATGTTTTTATCAAGTTAAACTGAAGAATCTTTATGTGCACCTGTCTTTATGTCCTGGTGACCATCCAAATAAAGTCAATAAAAAAACAAACATTTTCAGCAACACCTGAAAAACTTCAAAAAGTTTTCATTTAGTTACTTCCTCTCATATTATTTTAGCCATAAACGTTCCTTTTGTTCAAATATAAGGTGAGGTTTTATTTGAACAATTACAGGAGCTTGCTACTCTGCAGATTTCTTTTTTTAGGAGATAAATTTTATGTTTGTGGTAATTTAATCTTTCTTTTTCCAGTATTCTTTTCATTTTTTTTTTAAAATCACCACCAGTATAAAAACCACTGGGCTCATTTTATACCCAGTGTAGAACAGATGAGAGATTCTGGCTCTCCAAAATTTTCTTTCTTTGTGCAGCATGTGAAGCATTTTACAAAACCCATTTCCACATGAAGTAGCTTTGAGTGAATTGCTGTACTTTTCTTGACATACGTGGGTAAGAACCATCTAATTCTTCTTCTTCCATCCAAAGCTCAGCAAACAAAACCAATTACCTGATAACTAAATTAGGAAACACGTTATTTTTCTGGGCCACCAGAACAGCTTTCAGCCAGTTCCCAATATTGTTGATTCCACCTTCACCTCCACCTCCACCCAGACGGCCGTGAGGGGGCGTGGCTTCCGGATCCCTCCCCCCTTGCAGGAGAATCACCTGGACAGAAGATAAGTTTTAGAGACACAAAACTGCGAGGGGGAGACTCAGGCCGGAGGAGGATTCACTAGATTCTTATACGGCGTTTTCGCTTTTATGAAGTTTTTAAAGCGGAGTTTTTAAAATATATTTTGGAGTAGCACCTGCTCAGGTTCTCAGCGTCTGAGTTGGTTTTATGTCTATGGATACTTTTCTCTGACTTCTGGAGCTACAAACGTAAACTTCAGGGAATTTTTTTCGACCTTCGGCTATTCGCGGTTTTATTGTACTTTTTCCTCCACTGTGAGTTGAAGAACGGCCAAGAAATCAAGGTGGTTTGGAGTTTTTACTATTTAAATTTTTTTTCACCACTTCGCTAAAATGAATTGGAAGGAGATGCTCAAGTAAGTCCAAATGACTCTCTGTGAAAATAGCTCTGTTTTTTTGTTTTGTTTTGTTTTTTTAAATACTTGTTTTAAACCAAATGTATCTGTTTCCAGGTTTGTGCTCTGCGCCTTCATGTGTGTCCAGTCTGCTGCTGCTGTGTCTGCTTCAGGTCTGATCATCACACTCAACATACGGTCATCTGTGCTTGTTTGTCTGTTTTTTGTTTCTAATAAGAACCAAAATGTCACAATTAATTGGAAAATTCCACAATTACAAACTGTTGCTAAATTCTGACCCCTGCAGTGCGGGAATCTGGTGGCTCTATGATGCAGTAGGGGTCATGTTGTTGCCGTGCTTTGGAGTCACTTGTCTAGTTCCGGTCTCTGGGACTCTGGGCCGAGTTCCATTTATGATTTAGGGCCAACAAAAAACTTTTTTTTTCTTTTAAGTTGGTGTAAGATATAATTGGTCACCACCACAGGTCCCTTCTCCCTTAAACTGCCTATACTGATTGCTGAGTCTAGAATAGAATATAAGAGAAAAAAATGGAATAGAGTGGAATAGCCCTGTGGAATGCACACACAGATGTAGACAGAAGGGGGAGACGAACCCCAAAAACCAATGAAGGAAAGAATTCAACAGTTACCTGGAATAGCCCTCCAAATAGATTTTTGGACTGATTGTGTACACCACCACCATCAGATCACCAAATTAGAAAATTGAGAAGAATGGTGTTTCCTAATGTCAGTAGACTGCAGAGACTTGGGATGCAGAGCTGTAGCGCTTTACTCAGACATTTATTTAACTGTTTTCTTCCATTAATTTGTCATCAGTTCCTATATGGCCGCATGATTCAGAATATTAATTCATGTGATACAAATATGAGCTCCTGGTGATCAAAAATGTTTGGGGGGAGGGTTTTATTTGTGCAGCTTGTTAAGCCATGCCTTACTAACATCACAAGTTGTACCACTTCATAAAGCAGCTCAAACTGTGTATTGTGTTGTCAGTGAACAGTGGCAGTATTTGAACAGCATGTTTGAATGTTGTTATAATTGATTTTAATCGGCTGGGGTTGTAGCTGCTAGAGCACAGAACACCCACAGTGACTTTTAATGTTTCATGTAAACAGTAACTCTTAGAGCACAATCAGCATTAAAATGTTGAACTCAAATGAAAGCGTGTATTTTACTGCCCTGTGCGTGAAATCATCACTTTAACAGTTTTCTGCAGCGTGAATCTGTTTTATTGGCAACAGTTTTGAGTTTTACTGTTGTGTTTTCTATAATAGCATTTTTTTAATTGGAGTAGATGGTACTCGTGGGGATCATTTTATACAGAAGAACTGCATGATGTGTAAAATTCCTCTTTATTTGAATGTGCCCAAAGCGGAGAGCCCAGTTTAAAAGAGAAAGTTGATAATCACTGTCGTGGTACCCTTTATCTCTGACTGGGGTTTTAGGTTTTGTTGAGTCAGCTAACACAAAGAAGCCTGGTTGTAGTGAACTTCTTTGTCAGGAGGGTTGATGCTTGTTTTCACTTCAGTTTGTAACGTTATGTTGATGTTAGTGGGACTTCAGTCAGACCAATACCCCACAATCTCCTTTGATTTGATTTTATGGGTCAGTTTCTTTGGCTCACATTTGCCTTTGCTCTGTGTGACATTTAAAATTTGTTGCGTTTCTCTTTTGCAGGTTGCAAAGGAGACAAATGCAGTACTCAAGGCACCTTCCCTACAATGCCCACTCTTCCTTCCTCCTCTGTTACCTCTTCTCCTTCACTTCCAGTAACTTCATCTCTTTCCTCCTCCATTTCCTCTCCTCCTTCAAGCTCTGCTTCCTCTTCTTCTTCTTCTTTGGCGAAATCCTTACAGACCTCCCAGGACTTCCTGGGTCAGTTTACCCAGGTGAGGTCACCAAACAACGGGGACCGTAAACACCGTGACGCTAGCGCCGTACTGCCCTTCATCGGCCTGACCAGCAGTAAGTTCACACTTCGGTAATGCACACACAGATGTAGACAGAAGGGGGAGACGAACCCCAAAAACCAATGAAGGAAAGAATTCAGCAGTTTACCTAAAACAGTTTACCTGATGCTGTTCCATAATTTTCCCCAGGATTTCTTTTTTGTAATGCATTTAAGATATATTTCCAGTTGCTCAGAAAGTTTTGTTGTCTTATGCTGTCATATACCTTCAAATAAAACATCATATGAAAAACTGTGAAAACAAAACTGGTAATCGGCAACATCATCTATTCAGATTAAATAAAGTCTTTGATTAAAGGGCCAATTGTTTAAAATAAAAACAGTATATTCTCTCTTCTGATTTAAGTGAGAGCTTTTAAAATAAAATGAATTTAAATGAATTTTCATTGTTACCCATCCAAATAGATACTAAAACAAACCCCTTAATTAAAAGGTGTGGTTGTGTGGGCCGTTGTTGGTTCACTTCTAGTGTTTTTCTGCCATTTTCGGAGGTTTGTTCAGACTCTCTGTGTTTGCTGATGTGAAGCAGAGGATCACAGGAATGTGCTGCCAGCTGGAGACTCTGGTTTATCTCACAGATACCGATACAGTAAAAAAAGAAATGCTTGACCTGAGGTCTGAGGGCACAGCAGTGGCACCCCGAACAACAAATTAAAACACAAAATAAGTCTTACTATACTAAAAATAAATCTTACAAAATTTAAAATCAGAAAGTCTAAGTTCATCTGTTAAAGGAAAACTCCATGAAAGACAATCAGAAAAACGAAGACACAAGAAAGTTTTATATATTGAGTATAATTAATGATACTGGACTGAATACCTGTAATGGAGCTTGCAGGTCATATAGACAGATTTACCTGGACAAATATGAAATGCATACATAAGGTTTGGTGTTCATATGAAAAAGGCATATCCCTAATGGCTCTGCAGACACAAGCTCCATATTCTGTATCTAATTCTTACAAAATATTGAAGAAAATAGTATAGATCCCCAATGTGCCCAGCTCTTGTACAGTTATGTAGAGTTGCTTACTTCAACATATTTGCTGGCAGAAACGTTAAAATAATCATTCTATAAGATACTTTAGATTAAGACTATATTCACACTTATAATTGCAAGCACTCATTTAATCACACTTTTGTTGCTTTTGTTGTTCCTTTCTCACTTAAAATGATCAATATTTCTAAAAAGCTCATGTAAGAGATGATCAGCTCTGTAAAGACCTCCATTACTAATTACAGGACTGTTAATTCTTCTGTATAGTTGCTACAGAAGTAGCAGAGAAACACAGTTTTGAGATGGGACACATTCCTGCCTTCATACATGGAAAGCATAAAGGTGGTAAGAGCAGTAGCAGGGTGCCCTTAGATGTTAGAGATAACAGCAGACCGCCAGGATATTGGTAAGATCAGAAACAGAGGAGCTGGCGTGGAGGTGGTCTGCAAAGTGACTTACAGATACAGGAGGAATTGGATGCAGGTTAGATTTTAAATGACCTGGATGGATTTGTTGTTGGTTCCCATTTAAATATCTGTTTTTGTTGGGTTTTTTGAGGTGCTGAACAGAGTCGAAGCTGCTGTAAGAATGGAGGAACCTGCATCTTGGGCAGCTTCTGTGCCTGCCCTCCATATTTCACCGGGAGAACCTGCGAGTATGACCAACGAATCAGGTAAACCCGAATACAAAAATATTAGACGTGTGCTCCTGTATAATGCTCTACTTACTCTAAAATGCAAATTAATATTGACTATACTGGTTGAGCCAACTTGGTCTAATCTAACTTAGACTTTGAGAATATGTCTTCATTGTCTCTGACTGTTTTATGACCAGAAATTATCACCAATATGGTTCTTATGTCACTGGTTTAAAAAATCGTAAATATCTTAAAGAATCAAGTGCTTGGGAGTGGTTTTAATTTCGGTCATCTGTGTGCAGGACCTGTGGTTTGATTCCTCACGGCGAGTGGGTTCAAAAGGGCTGCTCCTACTGCCGCTGTGGTTATGGCACGCTGCACTGCTTCGCCAAAGTCTTCCATAAAGATTGTGGTAAGATCCAATGAGGACTAAATAGAGACTTGCTGCAGTTCAGACCAGGTTTAGCTTTTTTTCAGAATCTAGAGGGCCCGCGTGTCTTGACTGTATTTGTATATTTCCATGTGGTTCATTCAGTCCTTTAGATGTATGATCAGGTAAGCGAGGGCTATTTTTGTTTCTGTGTGGATGAGCTGTTGATGGCCATCAGACAGTTTGAAAACTGTCGTTCACACTTTTTCAGACTGGCAACAAAAACAATTCCCTTCAAGTGTAAGTGTCGTATTCAAACTCGCACCCCACCCACTCATTTACAACTCAAGGCAATGGATTCTTCAGCACAAACAATGACAACGTGTAAGCACTTTTAAGATAAAGCTTATCCAACATTTGTTTTGAGGTATGAGTAGCTGCAGCTTTTTGAGTGATTATTTTATTTATCATGAGCTCCATTATTTCAAAATTCCTTAGCCAACTTTCTAAATAGCCTAAAGCCAACACTTTGGATAAATTGGCCTATCATTGCTGAACATACAGACATCCTAAATCTTCTAATCTAAGAATTGTGCAGTTTTCCAGCTCTTTTTGCTGATAGCACCTCATGCCTTTTCTGCAAGTATCTGCTTTTTTTCCCCCTCCTGAAATGTTTTTAGTATTAAAAGCAGAAAATATATTTGTTGGTTCTTTAGCCCGTCAGTAGTACAATCCACTCTTCATCTTTTTTTCTAACACAAGAAATAACAAAGGAGACACCGTGCAGTACAAAGCCAGGTTTGGGTGAAAAGTAAAGTGACCATGCTGTGTGTAAGATGAGCCCTCTTGAGAGAAAATGTGTTTTTTCTGCAATAAACAGGGCCTTAAAAAATAACCAACTACAGAACATAAAATAAGGCCATAAAACAGTTAGTGAAAAGGCTTTTGAGACACAGAATGATAACAAATCATAACTTTAATTCTACTCAAAATGACAGTTTTCCTGTTTCTGTTTTCCAGATGATTCTGATGAGGTGCGCTGGTATCGTTCATCGGCTGTCAGGATGATTCCCACTGGCTGCTTCTTCTTCTATCTGATCCTGCTTTCTCCTTTGTATTTCTTCATCTGATGCCTTGAAACACCTGGATTTATGTGAAACTGTGTCTTAGCCTCAGCAGGATATTTTTGAAAGCTTGAAATCAGAAGTGAGTCCTTAACAGAAACAGATTTTCTGAAATCTATCATTTTGCATCCAGAAGGAAAAGACACACTTTGAACTGTAGCTGGACTGGACTGTGTCCTGATTTATGGGGACTCTTTTTTTTTTAATTTTTTTATGCTGTGGTTTATAGGGATCCACAGGCCACCCTGTCCCCTAACCAGATCTATTTATACCCCCTTCTCGTGTGAGCACTAAGAGCTCAGTAGACTTAACCTTTCTCTTTCAATGTGAATATTTTGAAGGATTTGCTGAATTCCCAGGTTAACGTGATTCAACCCAAAAGACCCAACATACAGCCAACATAATTCTCCCAATTAAAATGTTCAATATATCATTCAGAACTTCTTCTCGTTCAGACAAACCATGTACCCCTATTTCTTTGTTTCTATACCCATATATGTGTCAGATGTCTTGAAGAAGAAATGAAATATGTGAAGGAAGCTGTACATAAGATTTTTATGCAAAATATAATTTTTTCTTTGGTAATTTTAGGATCTCTTACTAAACACTAGATTTTTTTCTCTTTGTAAAAGATGATACAGAGTTTCTGTTTTTTACACTTTGTGCAAAAAGACAGAAGACACCAACTCAGCCAGTGTGACATTTTGTCCTTAAATATAAACATGTACGCACTGTGTTTATTAAAGATTTACAGTACTGTGCCACTGATGGTGTCTGTATGGTGAGAAAATTGCTTTGTCTTCATTTAAACTATAACACTCAGTTTACCAAATTAATATGATTGCATTGCAGTTTTTCCTTTCGTTCCATCTCTGTGACTCTATTATCTGTAGGTATTTTCAGAAGGAGCTGTTGTCTCCCTGCCTGTTATCTCCAGAGTTTATTGATGAGGTTAGGATTGATTATCTGCTGCTCTCTTATCTTAAACAAACACATCAGCTGTTGTTCTGTAGTCTGTCGCCCTGCCAGCTGCTACAGATCACAGCTATAATTAACAGGCAGAGTAAAAAATAATTTATATCAAAGTTAAACAATCATTACAGTATCTGTCTGCCTTGGAAGCTATAAAAATAAACTCTTCATTAAAAAAAAAAAGAAAAAAAAAAGAGGTCTCATTGAACAAGACTGTCCTCCCTTGGAAAAAAAAACAATGTTGTGTTGTTTGTGCAAACTCTTATTACAACACACAGCTGTTGTTTGTTTTTTTTTTTGTTTTTTTTAAAAAAGATAAGTGACCTTTAGAGGTTGTGTGAAAAGGGGCTGCTGGTGATGTGGCATCCAGGAGGCACAATGAAGCACCCTGGTGAATTCAGCTTAGTGCTTTAGTGTTGTAAACCTACCCAAAACAAATCCCAACAGCAAGTTAAAGGGGAACTTGAAAATCAGGTGTTTGTGCAACCAGCAACATGTCTACCTCGTAATAACAACTTTCTCTGTAACCCTGGGAGGTCTTAGTTATCAGTTAGATAAGGAGTAACCCCTAGATAAATATGTGCTAAAGGAGTATTTTAAAAAACATGTTTGTATTGTTCTCTGACTGACAGCTTAGGCTTATTCTTGGTTACTTAAACACTCCAGGGATACAGTGGGAATATTTCCAAATTTAATTTCACAAACTGTTTCATGGAGAGTAAACATAAAAGAGAATGTGTGTGTGTGTGTGTGTGTGTGTATATATATATATATATATATATATATATATACACATACATAAACATGTGTGTATATGTATTACTGATATATCACTATGAAACATTGTCTATTTAATACAATATAACCTCAAATGCTTACTTAAACCTATATTAAACTGGTGGACATGGACAGCTGGAGACCTGTTACACTCTTTTGACATGTGAAGTCTGCAGCCTGGGGAGCACGGGTAGCTGTTGCATTACAGTGTTAAGTCCGTGCAGTATCAGAAAACAAGCCGGCATGTGGACATCTACGTGGATTCTTGCAATAACTGTTTGATGATGAAAATTACATCACTGGGATCTGAGCGGACCCACGGATGCAGAAAGTATAATGCCTGCTTTAGATAAATGTCAGTCTGAAGTTTGTTGCCACCAAAGGGCTGTGACCGCTGTGATAAAAGGAGACCTATTCACATAATGTGCTCCATTTTTTAGTTTCTTCATTAGTGATTTTATATTCTTGGTTTGTACTACATTAGATTTATGGTTTAAAATCATTTCTGTCTTAAACTGTCTGTGGTGTAGCTTCTTAAATCATGTCTTGTCTCCCACAAGCCATTTTTAAGACAACTTTCTTTTGATTGGCTGCTTCTAAAGAAATGTAATAAGGGAGGGGCTTCTGTGCTCACAGCAGATGATATCTGCACTCACTGACATCATGCAGTACAAAGAGTAGAAAGAACTGTGTGAAATTGAGCTTTGGGAGCAGAGTTTTATCAACAAGGTTTACTGAAAAAAGCTGCATTTATACATTGGTGATAAGAGAATCCAACATTTAATTATTTTTTTTAACAAAGTGATTCAGGCAAAATTTCTCTCCTAGTCTGATTAAATCTTGCAGTTATAGTTCTGTTGGACAGACCAGAGTTAATGGGTTCTGTGGGTGTTTTGGGGCGAGGGGGCAGGGGGCACCCCTTCTTACTAGCATTCATTGAGCCACAGTAAACAACTACACTGTAACATAATTATGCAGATGACAATATCACCATCCTAATTCACCAGGTGACAACTGCTCCATAGATTATCTCCGCAAGGGACAAATAAAAGGGATGTGCCTGAAACACCTCTGCTAGATGCAGATAAAACCAATAATTTAGCTGAAAAAGAAGAAAAATGGTGAGCGTTAACACTTACCTGGACTGTGCTCTCTGAAAATCTGAGACCTGTCAGAGATCATGATGTAATCCTGAAATCAGAGATAAATTGGTTACAAAGTCTGTCATCTGAAAAAGAAAGCGAATCAAAAGATATATGCCCATGCAGAAATGAGAGAAGCTTTTCCTATCCAAAAGCATCAATAGTCTGGTCTCCTAGAAAGCAGAGTCACAACAAAGAACAAAGAAAAATGAACATATAACAGAATTTCTTAGGTCTCTGCACTGCTTCAAATGTGTCAGAGCAGAGATTGAAATCCTGCTTCTTGTCTATAAATCTTGCAAGCAGTGGCTCGGGTCTTCTGAGGCACTGCTTGGTAAATGAGAAAACTTAAAGAGCTACAGTTTGAGCTGGATTCCCGGGCAATTCAAGGTGAACCTCTCCTCTTTATAGTACAAAATAATGCTGTTTTGGCCAAACTGCTGGGGTGTGTCAATTAGGCACAGGGTCTCCATGGTGCATGGGATTTAATGAAAGCGACGTTCGTCTGTCACATCCTTCTTTAATGTCTGCTCAGTTGATAATCATGAGATGTCTGACGCCACTGCCCCTCGAGCCTCTTAATGCAAACTTCGTATTCCTCAATTGTTCTCTCTTAAGGCCTTCTGTATGAGAGCATAGAGAAGCTGACAAAAGAGAACTGTGTGTCAAACTGTGCTGAGAACGCGTTGCCTCTGCTCACTTCTCTTTCATGTTTCATGCAGCTCATTTGCAACTTTTGCATGTTGTAAACTTTGTCCCCTTGATCATGTGGTTCGTTACTGTTCCCTCTCTCCTGTGCATCTTTGCTGATATCTCTGGCTCTGGTTCTTGTTTTGCAGGGACTGACCTCACCACCCTGCACAATGTTTATTGTTTCTAATTCTCACTGCTCGTCTTTCCTCCTTTCACTCTCCTTTTACCACAGCCACTCGAGGCCATCAGATGTCCTCCCTCAGCCTGTTTCTCTTAAAGGTTTCTCACTCTTAAAAGGAGTTTTTTCCTCCTATCGTTGCCATGGGATTACAAACATTCAGTTTGTAATCCAGTTGAAATCTCAACCGAACTATGTAAAGCTCTGTGAGATTAGTTATTTTCATTATTTGAAAACTCCACTGACTTTAAAATCTGCTTAGTTTATTTCCTCGACTGCAAGCCTGTCTATAGGTAGCTGCTTTTACTTATCCTCCAGTTTAAATGATGGGGTACAAAATGCCACTTAAAAGGAAAACGAGGAGAGAAAGAACACGGATGTCAGGGCTTTTGTCAAGAAGCAGAGGAGGTTTCATAGTTTAATCCCATGGTAATCTGAGTGTAATCTCTCCTTTGTTATCTGGACTACTCCAAAGAAAAATGTGTCTAAAGTAAGTCTTCCAACTGGAGGAAGAAAAAACTACTGGAAAATGTGATTTCCCAAGCAAAGACCTTCTCAGACATTCAGCTTTGTTTCTATCTCTGGGCAGATCTCTGGTGGAGCTTTCAGTCTAAACTGATGTGCATTCTGGATCCTGTGAAAATTAATGTTGATGTTCTGTTTGTTGATCCCCTCTGAGAAAAGGTTAAAGGGATTGGACCAGATTTAAGCAGCTCTGAGTGGAGCGAGGGGGTCTGAACAGAGGAGGAGCAGCAGGAGGGAAGAGCGGGGATTAAAGGGGGATGTGAAAGAGAAGAGGAATGCTTAATGTCTTTATACCACTTTTCCATGTTCTCCTGTGACTTTAGTGCATTAATGCTCATGTATTGTTACATAAAGCCGATGTGCAAGATTCAGAAAAGGTTTTATAATCTAGTTTCTGAGCTGAGTAAACAACTTGGAAAAGGGAGAGTGGAGAGATAAATGTAATGAGGAGGAAACTGTGGTGAGCTTCTTATCTCTCCAGGTTCCTCAAACAACAGCTTTATTTGCTGATAGCAGCACTGCAGATAACGGCATTAACAGACACATTTGTATTTCTGTGCTCCTGGAGACTCTACGTGACACTACTTCAATCACAAGGACAAATTATCAGCTCTTTTAGTATGAATATGTTACCTCATTAAAGACTTGAAGTTCTATCTTTAAACGGAGCTCAGCTGAGCAGCAGCCAACCCAGGCATGGGCGGGGGTGAGAAGGGATCATGAGTTTGAAGCTGAAAACGGTGTGGATGTTGAATGTTGTCAGTGCGTATGCCCCATGGGTCACATGTCAGAAGAGAAAGAGGAACTCCAGAGTAAGTTGGATTAAGTGGTAAAGAGCCTGGAGGGACAGATTGTACATTAGATATGTAGGTGAAGGAAACAGAGGTGGTGAGGAGGTGTGGTTAGGTATGGTGAAGCAGTGTGGCTTCATGCTGAAAAACAGCACTTCAGATGTGATGCTTGCTTTGAGAGTCCTGGTGGATCAGGAATCTGCTCTGAACCCATCCTTGTTTGCTGTAGTGTCTCTGTGGACTAAGATGCTTGCATACAACATTGTGATCTGTATTAAGACTAGTGAGCAGGTGGAAGAGAACTTGGAGCGGTGGGGACTACATGTGTGTGAGTAAGAGGGAGACAGATGGATAGGTGAGGATGGATGGAGTAGAGATAGTGAAGGAAGAGGAGTTTGAATAGGAGGGATCAGACATCCAAAGCAATGGAGAGTGCAGGCAAGGTGGAGCAGGTAGAGATGAGTGTGGGGGGTGATGTGTGACAGGAGAGCAGCAGGAGAGAAAGATTTAACGATGGTTGTGACACCTGCTGTGATGTATGGTTTCCTAAAATTTTCAGTGGGAGTGAGCCGAATGGCCAGGACTAGAAATGAGTACATCAGAGAGACAGCTCAGGTTGAGGAACCTCGAGACAATGTTAAAAAGTCAAGGCTGAGATGGCTTGGACATGTACAGAGGAATGACAGTGGATTAACTGGACAAAGGATGTTGAAGATGGAGCAGCAATCCAGGAAGAAAAGAGAAAGACCACAGAGGAAGGTCATGGATGTGGTGAAGGAGGACATGCAGCTGGTATGACAGAAGAAGATGCTCAGGATAGGGTGAGATGGAAGCAGATGATGTTTATTGTGACCTCAAAAACGAGCAGCTGAAGAAAGAAGAAGAAGAAGAAGAAGCCGGGCAGCAGC